TTCGCTGTCAGATCCCATCCGAGTTGAGTGCGGAGCACCACAGGGATCAGTACTTCGACTGCGATTATTTTTGCCGTATATTGCCGATATCACACGCCTCCTAAGCTCGAACTGCCTTTTTTATTCCGATGCCATCAATATGTGGAGAGTGATGAATACACCAGATGATATCACAGTACTTCAAGCTGATGTGGATTGGGTATAGGCACGGTCAACCCAGAATCTATGAACAATGAACAATGATTTATCACGGGATAAAAGCAAGTGCTTGACACGTCCCCTAGGATCCTTGGGGTGAATATGATGAAATCAAAATATATCTGGGTCATCTACCGTATTGCTGCCTAGATGAGTGCTTCGATAAAGTACATGTGTAACATTTAAAATACCGAGCGAAAACGTTCAGAAAGACACTGGGTGCAGTGATCGTTGATGTAAGGCGTGAGGAAACTAATATCTGGTCGCACACTTGGGTCCGTTTGATACATAAATCACGTAGAAAAGCATGATTGGTGTAATCCACAACCGAGGAATTTAGGGAACAAAGTGCTGAGAGCTAAGAGCAACGTCTAATCGTTTTTGAAACATCCAAGGTAGGAGAGGGTACAACTAAGTCTAGGAGTGCGTTCCAGGGTTGGCAGACCCGAAGGGAAAAGTAATTCCGTCGACTCTAGACGCCTATATTGTTCCTTCAATTTCAAGCAGTTCCCCCGGAGCTGCGTTTTGCGGCTGAGTCTCAGCAAATGGCGGAATACGTGTTTGGGGTCACTCAATATTTGATATGCTAATAAGAGATCTCCGCGCAGCCTTCGATAGCGTCCGCTGAAAATTCCCAGCAACTTCAGCCTTCGGCGCAGGCCCTTGACATTGTTTGTTGCTCTTCGTTGTGGTGCTTCTAATGCTCCTAGGTCGCGCTTCAACCAAGGTTGCCAAGCTTGGATAGCGTATTCAATATGCCGGCGCACGTAGGAATTGTGCATCATTGGGAATACTTATGGGTCAAATCTCCCGAATGCCCTTCGCAGCATGCCGACGTTCTGGTTGCCTCTTTTCACAGCTACCTCAGCCTGTTTCGAACAGGTGAGATCGCTTTGTACGAGTACTCCAAGGTCACATTCCTGGGAGCAGGTCTGCAATTCGTTGGTCCCGAGCAAATATGTATAGTTATGTCTATGGCGTAATTGTACAACGTGACATTTGTCTACGTTGAATGGTAAGGCGTTTTGAACTGACCAATTCGAAATCGTGTTTTGATCACACTGGAGCTCTTCATGGTCGTCCGGCCCTCTGATCCTTCGCCAGGTCTTGATATCATCAGCGAAAAATAGAAAATCGGAAGCAATTGATTTCACCAAATCGTTAATGAACACCAAAAATAGAAGAGATCCAAGAACCGAGCCTTGTGGTACTCCGCACGCCACATCGATTTCAGCAGACCATGATTCTCTGACTCTCACCACTAGCCGTCGTTTGTGTAGCAAATTGCTAATCCAATTCAGGATTAGGTCGCCATTGCCGTAGTTCCGATGCTTCTGAAGGAGAATGCGATGGTCTAAGCGATCAAACGCTTTTGGAATGTCCAGGTAGATGACATCGACTCCTACTCCATCATCAACAGCTTCAGTCCAGCTAATACGTGCAATTAATAGGTTAGTATTACACGAATGCTTTTGACGAAAGCCATGTTGCTCTGGCGCTATTAACTGTGGCTTTCCAGATACTGCAACAGCGCATCTGCGATGATTGATTTCATCAATTTGGATAGCAAGCAAACTAGTGTTATTGGACGGTACTTGGCAGGATCAGTGCGGCTACCTGCTTTATGAATAGGAGTGACGACACCACGCTTCCATACTGGTGGAATACGGTTCTCCTCTAGGCCTCGCTGATAGAAAACGGCCAGTGGTTCTGCTAGATCAATAGCCACCGCCTGCAGAGCGTTTGGTCGGATGTTTTCTGCTCCTGGAGCATTGTAGATACGCAAGGGTAACAATTTCTTTAACATAGCTTCCGCAGTGAAGGTGAGGTTATCTAAACCAGATGGTAGAGTAGTATAAATGAAGAAAATGCTTGTGCTCGTTGTCTGCTGGAAAGTTTGAGAGTAATGAAGCCGTAGGAGATCAGCTGTTTCCATTGCTGATCGCATGCACCCATCAGCCGTGACTAGTGCTGGAACACCCCGCTTCCCTTTTCGAAGGCCGTTAACGTGCCTGTACAAAATTTTGCGGTACGTGCAGAATCGCTTCAGTAACTCCTAGTGATGAGTGAGGTTGCCTTCGCGGATCTGTTTCCACAGAAGTTACGATGTATCATGTATGCAGTGCAGGTTTCAGCATTCGAGCAGTCCTGGTGATCTTGCCATGCCAGATCCCTCCGGGACATACATTTAGGTGTTCTGCTCCTCATAAATGACTTATGCTTGCTTTTGGGTTGGAAGAGCTTTTGTTTTGATGCGTGCGCTACCAGTGTGCTAAACGTCCTTGTAGAAGTTTCCCAGGCAACATCTGGGAGCATTCGGTTAATAGAGCGATGTATCCTTAACAAGCGAAGATAACATATTGTAGTGCGTGACAATATGCACGTTATCGTCCTTCTTTCCAGGTACTCCGCATAGCATATATAGTCAAATAGTAGAGCAACATGATCAATAGGACCCAGTGGTGTGCTTGTAACTATCTCGTGAAACATGAGTTCTTCGTTGTCACAAGATCCAGTATCGACGGCTTGTTAGCAGTTCGAAATCTGATGGGAGAGGTTCCGTGGTTGTACAGAGGGGGCTAGCAATTAACTCTTCGATTCAATGTAGACAAATGTATAGTGCTGCACCTGCGGCACAAGTTGGTGTACTCCTACAAACTCAGCAACTAGGAGCTTCAAAGTTCTTCTGGCGAAAAGATCCAGGAGCTTTGTTCAGGTCGACCTAAGATATGCGAAGCAGGCTGAAACGGCCCTAGTAGGGACATCCAATGTGTGGCCTTCTGAAGTGTGCATTCGGATGATTCGACCCTTCGATTTTGCCACAACTCATCGGTTTATACATGCAGTCACATGTGGAATACGCAATGCCAGTCTGCTATCCAAGGCTACGGAGAAATTTCACCACCTCAAGGACACCCCATCGCCGAGAAACCAAAAAGCTCCAGGGTCGGTGTGATTTGTTGTATGAACGAATTTTACAGTTGCTCGGAGTCTTCAGCGGACAGTATCGGCGATTGCGTGAGCACCTCATTTTGATGTACCAACTTTTGAGAGATCCCAACCACACGTGCCTTTTTGCATTAATCATGAGCTGGTGTAACTCCCGTTAGAAATCGTCCCTGACCGATGCACTATTGCAGTCAGTTGGAGGGTCCGCGGAGATCACACATTAGATGCGTCTCTCTTCGCGTAGCTTGTTGATTCTACCTGAATCCCGAAGCCGAACTGCACACATTCGGCTGTTAATCTGGAACCAGTCTAGTAGTGCTGTCTCGGCCTTGTCAACTAATGCTATACCTACACCAACCGAATCTGCTGAGGCTACTTCTAGATCTCTATAGAGACGCATGTGAGATCTGGCTTTGTGGTCAGTGGGGGATGTTAACGTGCGCACAGTGCTGGTATCTTATAATGGAGTTTCTGAAAGGCAGCAGATTTCGATATATAGGGATCCTAGGGTGCGCTCTAGACAGGCTTGCTGTCCAATCTGCATGAGTGTCCGAATGTTGAAGTACGCTAGACGGAACGAGGATCGGGCTTGAATGAGAACCCTACTTTGAACTCCATAGTTTGCGGAGCAACCGGAATCGCAGTCAAATATTTGTACACCTGCATCGGGTAACGGAAAGTAAGGATTCGTCACAAGCAAATTATTGGAGTGTGATGAAGTCGCGTGAATGTGAGAAGCATAATAGGTAGCCGATGAACACGTTGTAATACAGTCCATGGTTCTGTGAGGGCGTGATACTACCCGGTTGCCCAAACCAGAATAGGGAGTTTACTTAGGGGACCCACCTAGTGCCTTTGGCTAAATAACCTACCCACAAGACAGCGGGGCGAATTCAGCGAATCGCGCACAATAGGAGTCGCTGACTAAAGGTTCAGTTATATGCTTTCGTTTGGCAAATCACCAAACAGGGGCCCGATACTCCCCATGAAATCAGCACAATTGCGGGACTACAATGCCCCACCGAGGTGAAACCCTGTCGTCGAACACTTCATTGGAACGGGCTACAGCCGAACCACCCAGCTGGCACCACGAGGAGGTAGTTCGACAAGTCAGCCAGTTTTAGATGGGGAAATGAGGTTTTCTAATAGCTTTTTCATATCTCACCACCTCCAGTTCTGTCACGCAGGTTTCAAAAACGGTTTCAAAATTGTCCACTCCATCCCTGAATGTTTCTCGCGCGACTTCCAAAGATATCTACACTCCCTTGCAGAACTATCTACATCCACGACCACAAGCCGGAGCCGTGCGTACAAAAGTTATCCGTACGACTGCTAATTCTACCTTGTCCAATAAGTAGCGCTGCGTAATCTACTGTTTGTCGTCTTAGTTACCCTTTGTTTTGCTGTGAAAATGATGTAACTAGCTATACTGCACTCTACTTAATTCAGTACATACAGAGTTTTCGTTATCTATCGAGTCGACAACTGAATTAAACATCGAAATTATTATTTTGGCTCAAATCGGCACATTTGGCATGTAATCACTTGTATATAAAGTTTGAGTTTAATAAGAGCTTCACGGAAAGGTGTTCCTCACGTAATACATGTCTTATTCTGGGCTAGTCAAATGCGCTAATCAGCTGCAGCTCCTCGTTCAGTTCATCTATAACACAGAAACATGTTTTCTCTGCAACCGCCAACGCAACCTGGGGCCAGCGCATTTGGCCTGTGACTACGCACCTCTGCACTCGATCCTTACTCGTTCAAACCTACAATGCCCAGCTTTTCTTAACAGGATAATACTAAAAGTGAATTTAAAAGGTAACGAATTTTATTTATTTCCCTTCCTCAAGCCAAGAGATCACCACATTGAAGGCGGCACACGAGAGGGCTGTCGCACAAATTCGAACTGCATGTCAACGGGAGTCACAAGTATTGGAGGAGCTACAACCGAACACGGAAAGTCTAAAGCGGCTGCTGGAACAATTGTCCACATCAGCGACCGAGCTGGGTCGTGCAGAACAAGACCGCCTCCGAGAACTCTCACTGCGCCAAGAATATTTGGCAAGGCGAGAAGAATCTATTCGATCCATGGAGGAGCGTCTAGCGCAACGAGTAAGGCACAGTTATCTTTTGAATTCTCACGTACTTCGCTTACATCTGAAACCCTAGCAGAGCTAGCCAACTGACAACCATGCCGTTTATACTCGAGTGACTTAGTGTCTTACTTACAATATTAGCAGGAGGCAACCGATATTGTAACAATGTTTTAGTTAAACCTTATTATGAGAAAGCGTAGAAGGAAGTGTAAAACGAAGGCCCGGTAGATTAGTAATCAACAGTGACCCATCCTTATCCAGCAGCGCGCGAAAGACCTGCCATGATTGGGCACTAGCCGGTTTCCGCTTCTGTTTTAGTTGACAAGCCGGTTCCGGAAGCTGTTCGTCATTTTGAGGATTAACACAAGCGCTCCCTTTACGTTGAAGTCTGCCCGCTATACTCATCAAAACTACTTGCTGCTCTATTGCGTAATTTCAGAATGGTGGCACGGAATAATTTGGCCTCACCAGGGTAATCTTACTGTTTTCAACCATGTATAAACTTGCTGATAAAACTTACCATGAATGGCAATCGCATATATTTCGTCTCGATAGGTAAATGGTTGGTAAACCTAAACCTAGTTGGCACCCTGGACGGATGAATATTCACCGGTAAAGCTTCTGTAGTGAGTTTGCAGGTGGCCATTAGGACTAGTGAACCATTTTCTTTGCTTCGTAAGAGTCCCGGCTGCCTATTTATGGGATTCACCATCTGCCATTTAATAACTTGTCTAGATTATAGAAGCTTCACTGCATGTATTTTGTCCCCCTGCTGACATCGTTAGTTTAAATGCACCATCGGTTGGAGATTCTTGAACTACCCGCCTAAATAAGGTCGAGAATAATCCCGTGAATGTTCCTTCTTTTGCGTATTGTTGAGCCGGTAATTGGTAAGTCAGCTTGAGTTGTTTAAAAGTCTAAAAAGGAAGGCTGCATTACACCTTATCCAAACAATTACTGCCCACATTTTCCTGCCCAGAAGTCTTTACCAGGCCGGTTTATGTGAAGTAAAAAATAGTGAGGGATAAGCTAAGAAAACAAGCGGATGAATGTCAACTAAATAATGATAATACCAAGGTGTGAGAGGAAATAGGAAAATATGAACGGAAAGCTGAAGATGCAAGTCGGTTAGGAGAAGGGGAAGCTTTGGTACTGCAACTCAAGAGCATCTATCCGACGCTCGAAACCCTCAACCGTAGATTTCCTAACGACGTGCTCCGGAAGCGAGTTCCAAGGTTCACTAACCTGGTGTGACAAGAGTTTCAGTCTTTACCCAGTCCGAACGCAGTTTGTGCAGGTTCAACGGGTGATCTCATAGAATAGGCAGCTTGGCAGGACTAACTAGCCAGGACAAATGTGGGCCGATCTTACCCCTTAGGTTACGGTAATTGATAACGAAGTCTCCGCTAGTGCACTGAGCACATCTTCAAGCCAAGCGAACGTTCGGGATACGTTTGCCTTCTCAAACCCTGCACTAACCTTATACCCACTCACAAAACCCGCCCCAGTTCCGTTTTGTCCTTTACAATACATGGTGGACAAGCCTGCATACAGTATTCTAAGGCTCAGAAAAGCTTCACAAAATATCGGCCGTTAGGACATTGAAGGAGTGGTGAGTAAACCACATCATACGGAACCCTCTACAAGTAGCCTTCCTTCAATTGTCCCCAGAGCGAAGTACTCGGGTGTAGACGACGCCTAAATCAAACCGCTGTGACAACAGGGATTTCACTTCCACCAACTAGCTAGCGCGTGCGGAGAATAGCAGTTTCAATGCGTATGGCAGAACATTTTGCCTGATTTAAAGACATCAACCATTAGGTTGATAAATCCCAGAGCTTATCTAAGGCACTTTGAATTGCCTTAGGACCTCCAGGAAAGTCCACCATATTTCACAGTTTGAGGTCATCAGCAAAGAATAGCGACGATACTTCAAGCTCCTGGGGTAGGTTATTGACATAAATTGCGAAAAGCAACCGCACTATAACTGAGCCCTGCGGGAAGCCACTGAGAACAGCTTGTCTAAGCGAAAGGTTGCGCCACAAGCATACACACTGTTCTCTCTCTTCTAGAAATGCAGACACATTTACCAGCGCCTCCAGATATCCCATATGACCTCAACTTTAGTGAGATTCGTAGATTTAGAACAGTATAAAAGGCTTTCGAGAAATCGACGAAAGCATGTCGTCAGCTTGACCGCTGTCTACTGTCTCAGTCCAGTTTCCATGAGCTACAAGTAAATTTGTCAGGCACGAAAATCCCTTAAGGAAACCGTGTTGGGCAGCAGTTAGAACGTTAAATTTATTCAGGTGAATCTCCACCGAATCCCTCGCCAGTTTTTCAAACAACTTAACTACTACACTTGTCAACCTGACAAACCGTATTTCGCGGGCCGAACACTTTCACCGCCCTAAAAATCGGACAGCTGATTGCCCCCTTCCATTCCGAAGGTAAAACACAGCTGTCGAGCGATATTGTAAACAAGCACGTAAAAGAGTTAGTTTGTTCAGCGGCCAATTCACGCATCAGCTTCTGATAAATTGAACCAGGACCAGAAGCTTTGGAAGGATGTAGCCCTTCCAATAGCCCGAAGCCTTAAGTCTCTGTTGTACTGATTTCAGTTAGGCAAGAATACTCCGAAACTCTTGTGACCAACTCAATCTGGGGTACAGAGGTCTCACGAGCAAAGACACCGGTATACTGTTCGCTAAGTATTCAAACATTATCATAGTCGGTATGCACACGAGTCTTGTCCGCTCGTAGTAACTCTGGTATAGACGAGTTCGTACCGCTGAGCCTCTTTACGTAAGCAAAGAAGGTGTTTGGATTGGTTGCGGCCTCGTCAGCTAAATCCTTCTCGTACTGATAACAAATTAGTTGATGAAGCCACGTTTTAAGTTCGTCATTAACTAGACAGCTTCCTGAGCAGATATTTACCCATATAATCTATCCATGGAGGCTGCGCCCGTGTCTCCCATTTCTTAATGTGCTGGATGTGGGGATCAGAGAGCTCGGTGAGATATGCCTTAGATTTCTCTCACGCTGACTCAACAGTGTCGGCCACGGAGACCTCATAATGCAGAACAGAAGATTTGACTCGCACTGCGATAAAGTCCGCCCACAAAATATTTGGGTATACCTCAGCGGTGGCCTTAGGATGCGTAGGGAGAGCACATCTAAAGGATATACAGACATGGTCACTGGCTTCTAGAGAACAGCCATATGTAAGAGCAGCTGCGAAATCGTGTGACATCGCAAAATGGAGATCCAAGGTAGATGGAAGTTAGTTGCTCATGTATCTAGTCAGGAGGTCAACGAAATAATGTAGTGGCAGTTGCAACCTTAGCTCGAGGCGATCCGAAGCGAAGGTGCCCACTTCCGAACTGCAAGACAGATCAGTCCAACTGACCTCAGATAGGTTGAAATCCCCCAGTACTAAACACTTATATGCAGCCTGAGTTTGAATAAACGCAAAAGTCTCCTTAGAGGTACTTCCAGAACTTCAGTATACCATTAAAACTGTAAACTGAGTATATAATTTGCACGCAACAGTCAGCAGGGCTTCAGCCTTTTGGTCCAGTGACTGAATAGCACAGCTTCTCCACACATCCAGTATACAGCTCACATTAAGAGCGACGCTTTCACCTTGGTGGCCAACGCAGCGATCAGGTCTAAGTAGCGCGTAGCCAGGTAAACATACTACACTGTCCGTGCTATCCAGGGAAAAGCATGTTTCGCTGAAAGCGTGTATGTCGGGACGAGATTGGTCTCTAAACAGACCCACTTCGTGTACCTTGTTCCTTAGGCTACGTATATTGCTAAATACTACCCAAAGGAACTCGGCATGACCAGCCCTGGGTCGTGCGCTAACAAGAGAGGGTTCTGGTAGCGCAGAAATTAACCTCCGGATGACCAACTGAAAACCCACAAGACGGAGACCTTTCTCACCAGCCACCCGCCTGTTCTTCGGGCTTCTGAAGATTTCCTTCAACTTCAGTCGATCTGCCAGTGAAAGGTCCGATTGAACGCTGAAACTGCTACCCTTGAGTCTGAATGCAAAGCGCATTAATGCTTTGTGTTCCTCCGAGGTTGAGAGGACTACATGAACTAGTCAGGGTCGCAGATTTGGTATATCGACAGGGACGTTCCCTAGTCTGGTTAGCTTTCTGATAGTGACACCAGAGAAACCAAGTGGAAGCATCTTGGTGAGGTAGAGCTTGAAGCACACTAGATAATGCAGCATACGTTCCCTGGGAAGAGCAGTCGGGGATACAGAAATCTTAAGGAAGGTAACGCTACTATCAGTAAAATAATCACATCTACGAGGCGTATTCACTTCATGAGTCTTCGACTCGACACCAGGCATGATCGGTTTGGTAGAAGGTGATACGGCGCATTTCTGCGCCAAAGGAGCAGGGGTAATTAGGGTTGGAGCTTTGAACACTACCTCCAACACCTTCATGGATTTAGTCTCTTCAGGCTTTGCGTGGGCCTTACGTACTTTCGTAACCCTCTTCCTCGCTTTTTAGTGTGCACAAGGGATATAAGATCGGTTTTGCTTTTGGCGGCGCACAATGCGACGTCGGAGTCCTCGCTAGGGGCATTCTTGGTAGCTGGAGTACACGACACGGTAACCATCATCCCAGTCGGGTTCTGTTCGACAGCAGGGGAGATTGGCTGAGTGTCTTCGTCTAATGAGGCGACATCGATAGAAAATCCTATTTTCTGTAAAGGGTAACTATTTTACGGTTAAGAGAAGTGAGGAAAGACGAAATCTGCTGGTTACCCAGCCCGACGTTGCTCGCTGCATACTTTATGTCATTAAGACTCCCAGACCGCCGACTACCGCATACAGGGCAAACGGAGAGCATGCCATCGCTAGTCGAGAGCACTGCGCAGTTGTCATATCTCAAATTGGTAGAGGACTCATGGTACCAGCAGTGACGTACAATGAAAAAATGTTTTTATACGGATACAAATCTGACGCTTGACAGGTCCCGTAGGATGGTCATGGTG